CAGGAGGGGGGAGAGGGGACATCCCTGTCTTGTGCCCCTTTCTAAAGCAATTTAATCAGATAATGTATTATTTGTGTATATTTGTGCTTTAGGACACTTTTTTTTTTGTTATGTACATTTATTATTTCAGCTGGAAAGTTGAAAGCTTCCAAAGTTTTTAATAGAAAAGGCCACTGAAGACGTCGAAAACAGCCATAATGTATAAATCTATATCATGTTTTTCTGTATATTGTATTAAATTGAAACATGTTCTTGTATTTGTTTGATTGATATATATCAAGTCTGGTAAGACTTTTGCCATTCTATTGGTTATAATCTTTGTTATTATTTTGTCACAATTTATTAAACTTGTGGGTCTTAAATCAGCAGGGACTCTCCAGATTTTCCTTGTTTTAATATAACTGAAATAACTGTTTTATACATGAAACTAGGAAGTACTGAATTGAGTGACGTGTGTTGTCATTTGTACATAGGGGGCCTACTTTGTCCCAAAATGTTGAATAGAATTCTATGGGAAAGCCATCCATTCCTGGTGCTTTTCTCCATGCAATTGTTTTAACAGTATCTAATATTTATTCTTGGGTGATCTCTGTTTTTAGTAATTATTTTTTGTCTGCTGGTAATTGCTTCAGAGTTGTTGAATCTAAAAAGGCTATATGATCCGTCCAACTGTTGTTTAATTCTGATTTATATACATTTTCATAGAAGCTTTTAAAATGGTCACTAATCGTGTTGTTGTTTCTAATTACCATTTTGTATTTTCATCTTTTAAAATTACAACTGTTTTAGCGTGTATTTGTTTTGTGAGAGCTGCAAGATATTTATCAGGTTGATTTGCCACACTTAGTGTATTTTAAAATACAAATATTTAAACAATCCATTCATTTGAACCCAGGTCTTCTAGGGGTATTTGAAATAATGTATTTGTAAATAAGTATTTGAAAATAGTTCTCAAATACTTCGAATAGAGGTACAGTGGCTTGCGAAAGTATTCACCCCCCTTGGCATTTTTCCTATTTTGTTGCCTTAAAACCTGGAATTAAAGATTTTGGGGGGTTTGTATCATTTGATTTACACAACATGCCTACCACTTTGAAGATTTAAAATATTTTTTATTGTAAAACAAACAAGAAATAAGACAAAAAAACAGAACTTGAGCGTTCATAACTATTAACCCCCCCAAAGTCAATACTTTGTAGAGCCACCTCTATAAGCTTGGCACATCTAGCCACTGGGATTTTTGCCCATTCTTCAAGGCACAACTGCTCCAGCTCCAGGTTCCGCTGGTGTACAGCAATCTTTAAGTCATACCACAGATTCTCAATTGGATTGAGGTCTGGGCTTTGACTAGGCCATTCCAAGACATTTAAATGTTTCCTTTTAAACAACTCGAGTGTTGCTTTAGCAGTATACTTAGGGTCATTGTCCTGCTGGAAGGTGAACCTCCGTCCCAGTCTCAAATCTCTAAAAGACTGAAAGAGATTTCCCTCAAGGACTTCCCTGTATTTAGCGCCATCCATCATTCCTTCAATTCTGAACAGTTTCCCAGTCCCTGCCGATGAAAAACATCCCCACAGCATGATGGTGGCACCACCATGCTTCACTGTGGGGATGGTGTTCTCGGGGTGATGAGAGGTGTTGGGTTTGCGCCAGACATAGTGTTTTCCTTGATGGCCAAAAAGCTCAATTTTAGTCTCATCTGACCAGAGTACCTTCTTCCATTTGTTTGGGGAGTCTCCCACATGCCTTTTGGTGAACACCAAACGTGTTTGCTTATTTTTTTCTTTAAGCAATGGCTTTTTTCTGGCCACTCTTCCGTAAAGCCCAGCTCTGTGGAGAGTGCGGCTTAAAGTGGTCCTATGGACAGATACTCCAATCTCTGCTGTGGAGCTTTGCAGCTCCTTCAGGGTTATCTTTGGTCTCTTTGTTGCCTCTCTGATTAATGCCCTCCTTGCCTGGTCTGTGAGTTTTGGTGGGCGGCCCTCTCTTGGCAGGTTTGCTGTGGTGCCATATTCTTTCCATGTTGAAAGTGTCTGATATTTTTTTAATAACCCAACCCTGATCTGTACTTCTCCACAACTTTGTCCCTGACCTGTTTGGAGAGCTCCTTGGTCTTCATGGTGCCGCTTGCTTGGTGGTGCCCCTTGCTTAGTGGTGTTGCAGACTCTGGGGCCTTAGCAAAGGGTGTGAAAACATATGCACGCACCACTTTTCCGTTATTTATTTTTTTTAGCATTTTTTGAAACAAGTTATTTTTCTAATTTCACTTCACCAATTTGGACTATTTTGTGTATGTCCATTACATGAAATCCAAATAAAAATCCATTTAAATGACAGGTTGTAATGCAACAAAATAGGAAAAACGCCAAGGGGGATGAATACTTTCTCAAGGCACTGTAGCTGATTTAGCCACATTATTTGAAATTATTATTATTTAAATAAGAAATACTTAAATATGCATGTATTTGAACCCAGGTGTGGTCCACTGCCTCCTTCTTCCATTATCGAATATTCTTAATTACTTTCTCTCTTTCCTTCCTTCCCTCTCTCTCTCTCTCTCTCTCTCGCTCCCCCTCCCTCTTTCTCAGGTTTAATCGTGGGCTCCCTTACCGTGTGCTGGCTGCCCAACCAGGTGCGTCGCCTGATGACCGCCGCCGTGCCCAAGTCCAGCTGGACCATGTCCTACTTCCGCAACTATGTGGTGCTGCACCCTGTGGCCGACACCTTCTTCTACCTTAGTTCCGTGCTCAACCCCTTCCTGTACAACCTCTCTTCCCTCCAGTTCCGACAGGTCTTCGTCCAGGTGCTACGCTGCCGCCTCACCATCGAGCACATCAACAAACGGACTCTGAGGAACGCCAAGGCCAACTCGGCCCACTCACTGCGGCCCCTGCTAAAGTCACTGCGTCGTTGCGGTGGCAACAGGTCTACTCAGACTCAGAGCGAGGAGTTCAAGATGCCTACGTTCACTACCTTCCATAGTCCTAAAGGACAGTCCCGCTCCCAGCCCTGAGGAGGCCCTCCCCACAACCGATGAATCATTTTCGATTTCGGTGCGAAAGGGAAACGACCCTGAAGAGACTGAAATATAAGTTTATTAAAATACATGTATGACAGAGTTGTCTTGACTTATGCTCTAACATGCTTCTTGGCTGAGGTTATGAAGTAGGATTAACGTGGTGAGTCAATACAGTCCAGAATGACTTCTAGGTGACTTTGAAAGATGAACCAAAGGAGAGCATATTGGCTGTGTTCAGTATTACAGTATTCAATCAATCGGAGAAGGATACAGGGTGTCATCCAACACAAACTTGAACAATCTGTCACAAGCTGATTTGTCAAAGAGGTGGCTCTATAGACAGAATACATGAGGAGTCTAACATACAGTAATACATCCAGTCAAAGCACAGTCAGGACATTTTTACCAATTTCATCTCATACTGTACATTGTAATAGCTGGAACATTGGAAAAGCTTTGTATTTGATCAGTGTTAATTACAGTGATTTGTTTCCGTTACATGAGAGTACACTTATCTTGGCCATGCTGTAACTCATATTATCACATTCACTTAAGATGCCACTGAAAAATAAGTTCAACATTGTTCATCATGACCTGGTGTCTGCATTGTACATTGTGTCCAAAGTATACTTTTCCATTGATTTGTATGGCATCCATATCTGACCACTGACAGTTGGCCACTTTCTAAATTAGATGCAGTGCATATGATTTGATCTCAAGACAAATGTAATTTATGTTTCATCACTACAGTATCTGCATCATTATTTTAATATTAAAAATGGTCAGTTACTCTGTTGTGTTATTTGTGTTTTTCTTCATCTTATGTCTCTGTACTCCAGTTAATCTACTGTACAAATATACCTCTTCCAGTTCATCTACAAATGTACAGATTACCTTCTAGTGCCCTCAGTTGGCCAGTCAATAGCTATGTTTCCATTAACTTGTCCAGTGATTTTTTTGTTGACATTTAGAAAGTTTGCATAGAAAATAAATTATATGTGACAATTGCCTGTTACGGTGCGTTTCCATTTAACTGTCTTGTGTCGATAAAAACAGCTGTACATAATGATGTCACACCTAAAAAACATTTTTATTATTAAAAACCTATAGTGTCAAATAAAATGAAGTGGTTGAAGTGTTTCCATTGCAAATTGTGCAGTGATCATTGCTGTCTGTTTCATGTCTCAGGTAGCCTTGCGAAAGCCAGCAGCATTGATAGAATGCAATAATTTACTAATATTTGCCATATTATTATAATTATTGTGTGCCAATGTATTGCCACGGTCCGTGCCATGGTGAAACCTGCACTCCTGTAGATCTGAAATAATTGGATGGTAAAACTTGCCAGCCAACCAGAAAAGCAAGGCAAAGCAATTCAGGCCTTCTTGAAAGTCAGGACAATCCTTGTCCTGCAAAGAAACATTCATTTTATAGTCGAAAAAATTGATTTAGCAAGCAGTAGACATTTAGAATTAAACGTGGAGTGGACCTTAACAGTTACGTGATGACATCACGTGCCCAGCAAAATTATTCGGCAATCATCATTTATTAGAAAAACACTGTTTCCATCATCATTGTCGCAATAAAGAAAGTTCAGCAAAAGTAAAACCTGTCAAATGGATAAAAATGTTGTCGATCTATATCTTCCGTTTCCATTACACATTGCTTGCTTTTGTCAAATATACCTGGGTCAATAGTTAGCCTGCCTATTGTCTGTCAAACATGTGGTGCACCTGACTCACACTATAAACATATTTGTCAGGATCCTTCAGTACCTTATTTCAATCAATATCTTTTGACCTTTAGTCGCTGTCCATAGTAGGACATCTTCTAAATGCGGTGTCCATACTAGGACAGTGTCACACATCCATTAAAGATATGGACACCGTACAGGCTGGAGAACCTTTCACGGAAACACAGGCTGAGTCCAAAAGCTGGACCACAGTCTTGATGAGACCAAACCAGCCAACCATAGGGTCTGTCAGCAGAATATGGAGGATGGGTGCAGTAGGAAGGGAATAAAAAGGAGGGAGAGGCTGTGTAGTGGGATTAGGGACGAGGTGGCAGAGGGAACTCTGTTTCTGGAACTCTGTTTCTTCTGACGGGGTCCATTACAGAGGGGTGTGTTGCAGCAGCTGATGCACACCGAGTTGAGTTTCCCCGTGCAGAACTGCTGGTAGCCAGAGGAGGCGATGAGGCAGGCACCAGACGAGGCGCAGGACTTGCGGTAGTGTTTTCCTGGAACAAGGACAGAAACGTAGCCATTAGATACTGTATGCCCAGATACTTATTTCACACTACTGAGATAAGATGAGCTGTACTAGGCTGTGGGCTGGTTAACCATCCACCATAGTTGCTGGAACCGTGCTGGTCAGGACGATGTGAAAAGAAAATATAGTGTGAATCAGGCAACAGTCTATGTATGTCTGTGTGCTTGTTTATGGAAAGCACATCTACACAAAATGTGTGATTTATTAGAGGAGTTCTAATAATAAATACATTGTAATACAGCCATACAGTGCACAGACAAGATATTAGATCAGTTGTTAGACGAATGAACATTTTGAAAATTATCCATCAATCGATTTCTCGATCTCTATATACAGTATGTGGCACAACTAATACATTTATCCAGGGTTTGGGGACTCCAACTAGACAGTGTGGTCAAAGTGAGTCTCTTGCGAGAGCTTCTTTACTAATTCAGTGATCCATAGTGAATCTACAAGCTGTGTCTTCTTCACAAAGAAATCAAATTACCCCGTAATGGAGTCAGGTACAGTATGACCTCTTCAGTACCTTGCTACCAAACGCACAATAGCAGAGAGTGGTGCTATTGACTCACAGAACACCCACAGTCAACAAAGATGCATTAGTCATCATTCTGAGATAAAAGTCAGTCCATGAAAATTACAATTACAAGGTATGCACCAAGAATCACCTGGCTGGCTATGTATTTGTATGCCTTCAAGTTAATTATCTTGAAGATTATTACCCTTGGCGGAGTCCATTGGTTTTGCATGAAGGTTCTCAAGGCCACTGAATTGCTATTATGTTCATGACAGCGGGCTCTTGAGAATGATTATGTAAAAAAAAATCAGAGTATGAATTTTCTACAGATAGTCTGTAGTATAAGCATGTTGTGAGACAACATTGGGTGTGGCAGTGCTTATCTTTTAGAGTACAATGTACATGTAAACCTGTGGCATACAATACAGGGAATACAAAAATTAGCTGAGTCTGAGAGTGATACTTACACTAAATCACCAAAAGTATGTGGACGCCTGCTTGTCGAACAGCTCATTCCAAAATCATGGTAATTAATATGGAGTTGGAAAGGTTTCCACTAGATGTTGGAACATTGCTGCGGGGAATTGCTTCCATTCAGCCACAAGAGCATTAGTGAGGTCGGGCACCGATGTTGGGTGATTAGGCCTGGCTCGCAGTCAGTGTTCCAATTCATCCCAAAGGTGTTCGATGGGGTTGAGGTCAGGGCTCTGTGCAGGCCTGTCAAGTTCTTCCACACCGATCTCGCCAAACCATTTTTGTATGGACCTCGCTTTGTGCACGGGGTTATTGTCATGCTGAAACAGGAAAACGCCTTCCCCAAACTGTTGCCACGAAGTTGGAAGCACAGAATCGTCTAAAATGTCATTGTATGATATAGTGTTAAGATTTCCCTTCACTGGAACTAAGGGGCGTAGCCCAAAATATGAAAAACAGCGTGATTCATCACTCCAGAGAATGCGTTTCCACTGCTCCAGAGTCCAATGGCGGCGAGCTTTACACCACTCCAGCCGACGCTTAGCATTGCACATAGTGATCTGAGGCTTGTGTGCGGCTGCTCAGCCATGGAAACCCATTTCATGAAGCTCCCGACGAACACTTATTGTGCTGGCGTTGCTTCCAGAGGTACTTTGCTTCCAGAGGTACTTACTCGGTAGTGAGTGTTGCAACTGAGGACAGACTATTTTTACGCGCTACGCTCTTCAGCACTCGGCGGTCCCGTTCTGTGCGCTTGTGTGGCCTACCACTTCGCGGCTGAGCCGTTGTTGCTCCTAGACGTTTCCACTTCACAATAACAGCACATACAGTTGACCGGGGCAGCTCTAGCAGGGCAGAAATTTGATGAACTGAGTTGTTGTAAAGGTGGCATCCTATGACGGGCCACGTTGTAAGACACTCTTCAGTAAAGCCATTCTACTGCCAATGTTTGTCTATGGAGATTGCATGGCTGTGTGCTCGATTTTATACACTTGTCAGCCAAATCCACTAATTTGAAGGGGTGTCCACATACTTTTGTATATATAGTGTATGTGAATAACCAGTGTTAACAGTACATGCAAAGCAAAGCATGAAATGCAGTTATAGGGAGAGACTTAACACGGAGAACGATGTCATAAAGAAATGGTTTACAGTTGGTGTCTCATTTACAAAGACACCATTGAAATTCCACTTATCTCTTCCCAACTGGTACCAAACAATCAATTCTGAACAAAGTAAGTGTAGCCTACAACATTATGGCTTTGTGGGCTAAAAGCAAGGGGAGGGATATCCTGGTACGCCACAAAGACTCTAGGTCATCCAAACCCACTCACGTCTTCACAGGAAGAACACATCACAGTGTTTGTTACACACAGAGCTGTCAGGCGGTGGAACACTGTGCTTAATGAAAGACAATAGCTTTCTCCCTTTCCAATGAAATTGTATTTGTCACATGCTTCGTAAACAACAGGTGTAGACTAACAGTGAAATGCTTACTTACTGGCCCTTCCCAACAATGCAGAGAGAGAAAATAGAGAAATAATAGAAAAGTTATAATATGTAATAATAAAAGTAATAATAAATACACAATGAGTAACGATAACTTGGCACAAGGTTTTGTACCGAGTCGATGTGCAGGGGTATGAGGTAGTTGAGGTAGATATGTAACATATTAATATGAATAAAGTGACTAGGCAACAGGATATACAGCATAATAAACAGTAGCAGCAGCGTATGTGATGAGTAGAAAACGTTAGTGCAAAAAGGGTAAATGCAGTCCGAATAGCTATTTGGTTAACTATTTAATTAAATATTTATCAGTCTCATGGGTTGGGGGTAGAAGCTGTTCAGGGTCCTGTTGGTTCCAGACTTGGTGCATCGGTACCGCTTGCAGTGCGGTAGAAGAGAGAACAGTCTATGACTTGGGTGGCTGGAGTTTTTGACAATTTTTAGGGCCTTGCTGGATGGCAGGGAGCTCGGCCCCAGTGATGTACTGGGCCGTACACACTACCCTCTTTAGGGCCTTGCAGTTGGATGTCAAGCAGTTGCCATACCAAGTGGTGATGCAGCCAGTTAAGATGCTCTTAGTGGTGCAGCTGTATAACTTTTTGAGGATCTGGGGGCCCATGTCAAATACTTTCAGCCTCCTGAGGGGGAAGAGGCGTTGTTGTGCCCTCTTCACGACTGTGTTGGTGTGTGTGACCATGATAGATCCTTAGGCATGTGGACACTGAGGAACTTTAAGCTCTCGACCCGCTCCACTACAGCCCCGTCGATGTAAATGGGGTCGTGCTCGGCCCTCCATTTCCTGTAGTCCATGATCAGGTCTTTTGTCTTGCCGACGTTGAGGGAGAGGTTGTTGTCCTTGCACCCCACTGCCAGGTCTCTGACCTCCTCCCTACAGGCTGATGGTGTTGGAGTCGTGCGTGGCCACGCAGTCATGGGTGAACAGGGAGTACAGGAGGGGCCTAAGCATGCACCCCTGAGGGCCCCCCGTGTTGAGGGTCAGTATTGCGAATGGGCGGTCCTTTAGGAAGTCCAGGATCCAATTGCAAAGGGAGGTGTTCGGACCTAGGGCCCTTAGCTTAGTGATGAGCTTGGAGGACACTATGGTGTTGAACACTGAACTGTAGTCAATTAACAGCAACCTTGCATAGGTGTTCCTCTTGTCCAGGTGGGAGAGGGCAATAGAGATTACGTCATCTCTAGATCTGTTGGGGCTGTATGCGAATTGAAGTGGGTCTAGGGTGTCTGGGATGATGGGGTTGTGAGCCATGACCAGCCTTTCAAAACATTTCACAGTCATTTAGACATGTTACCTTGGCGTGCTTGGGCACAGGGACTATGGAGGTCTGCTTGAAACATATAGGTATTACAGACTGGGTCAGGGAGAGGTTGAAAATGTCAAAGAAGACACTTGCCAGCTGGTCAGCGCATGCTCTGAGTACGCGTCCTGGTAATCCGTCTGCGGCTTTGTGAATGTTAACCTGTTTAAAGCTTACTGACATTGGCTACGGCGAGCGTGATCATACAGTCGTCTGGAACAGCTGGTGCTTTTATGCATGGTTCAGTGTTGCTTGCATCGAAGCGAGCATAGAAGGCATTTAGCTCGTCGGGTAGGCTCGCGTCACTGGGCAGCTCGTGGCTGGGTTTCCCTTTGTAATCCGTGATAATTTGCAAGTAATGCCACATCCGATGAGCGTCAGAGCCGGCGTAGTAGGATTCAATCTTAGTCCTGTATTGATGCTTTCTTTGCCTGTTTGATGGCTCGTCAGCGGTCATAGCAGGATTTTTTATAAGTGTCCGGATTAGTGTCCCGCTCCTTGAAAGCGGCAGCTCTAGACATTAGCTCAGTGCGGATGTTTCCTGTAATCCATGGCTTCTGGTTGGGATATGTATGTGCGGTCACTGTGGGGACGACGTCGTCGATGCACTTATTACTGATGCCAGTGACTGATGTGGTAAACTCCTCAATGCCATTGGATGAACATATTCCAGTCTGTGCCAGCGAAACAGTCCTGTAGCTTAGGATCCGCTTCATCGGACCCCTTCCGTATTGAGCGCGTCAATGGCACTTCCTGTTTGAGTATTTGCTTGTAAGCAGGAATCAGCGGGATAGAGTTATGGTCAGATTTGCCAAATGGAGTGCGAGGGAGAGCTTTATATACATTTCTGTGTGTGGAGTAAAGGTGATCTAGAGTTTTGCCTTCTCTAGTTGCACAGTTGACATGCTGGTAGAAATGAGGTAAAACGGATTTCAGTTTCCCTGTATTAAAATCACCGGCCACTAGGAGCGCCGCCTCTGGATGAGCATTTTCTTGTTTCTTTGCTTATGGCCCTATACAGCTCGTTGAGTACGGTCTTAGTGCCAGCATCGGTTTGTGGTGGTAAACAGTATTGTCTACAGCTTTTAATGAGGTATTCTAACTCAGGCGAGCAGAACTTCGAGACTTCCTTAGAATATTACAGAGCGAGCACCAGCTGTTGTTAACAGACACACCCCTCCCCCTAACCATACCCCAAGCTGCTGTACGGTCTTGACGATGCATAGAAAAACCAGCTAGATGTATATTATCCATGTCCTTGTTCAGCCACGACTCTGAGAAACATAGGATTTTACAGTTCTTCAAGTCCCGTTGATTGGATACTCTTGAACGGAGCTCATCCAGTTTGTTCACCAGTGATTGTACGTTCGCCAATAGAACGGAGGGTAGAGAGAGGATTATTTATTTGTCGACATAGTTTCATCAGGGTGCCAGCACATATGTATCTCTTATGTCTTTTTTTCTTCAGGCCTGGTCCAGGGTGAGCAGTATGTCCTGTGCCACTGACTAGTTGAAGTAGAAATCTTCATCCAAATCGAGGTTAGTGATCGCTGTTCTGATGTCCAGAAACTCTTTTCGGTCATAGGAAACGATGGCGGAAACATTATGTACCAAATAAATTAAAATCAGAGCAAAAAAAACACAAAATATTGACAGGAGCCCATAAAACGGCAGCTATCCATTGCAGTGCCATTCTGAGTAGCAGGTAAACAAGTTCATTATCACATCTGATTGTTTACAATTTGGCTTCAAAGAGGCAACAATTTCTATTGACATTTTTGTCATTTAGCAGACGCCCTTAACCAGAACGACTTATCTTTGTTATTCCAGTACTCACATTATTTAAAGTAGCATTGGTAACACTTTGCATTACGTTGCCACGATTACTATGTAACTACACAGTAATAACTGTAGTAACAACA